GCGGCTTAATAGCGTTGCACTCCAACCTGATAGCAATGGACGCCAACTTAATAGCGATGGCCTCCAACTTAATAGCGATGGAGTCCAACCTAATAGCGCTGGACTCCAACCTAATAGTCCAACCTAATAGCGATGGCTCCCAACCGAATAGCGATGGACTCCACCCGAATAGCGATGGCCTCCACAGAAATAGCGATGGCCTCCACCGTAAGAACCTCCAACCTAATAGCGACGGCCTCTGACCTCAGAGCGATGGCCTCCAACCTGACAGCGATGGCCTCCAGCCCATTAGCGATGGCCTCTACCCTAATAGCGATGGCCCCCACCCTAATAGCGATGGCCTCCACCCTTGTAGCGATGGCCTTTGCCGTAGTAGTGATGGCCTCCAACCTAATTGCGATGGCCTTCAGATTCGTGAGCAATTCAGGAACGGTGTGTTCACGTTGTTTCAAGTCAAGATCCTATGTGTCTTGAAGCCTTGGTGATCAGCATCTTAGCTCAACATGCACCTGTGACATGGAGGCTTGTAGTTTGGCCATGGCAAAGCTCCTTCCAAGGTGTGTACTGGAGACATGTCCGACTCCAGAGAACAACAGGCGCAAACCAACTTGCATGTTCTGTTTTGTTTCATTATGGATTTTGTCTCAATAGATTTCGTATGTTTAGAGTGCTGTTATCCACTGCCTTCTTCACTTTCTGAAATCAAATAGGTCAGTTGAAGCGAGTTTGTGTTTTTGCCAGGAGATTGTCCGTGCAGTCTCACCGCCTCGTTTGAAGGGGTTTCGACGCATGTTTGTTTCCCTTGTCAATGGTGGTACAGCGAGAGTAGTTGCTTCGAAAGGCTGCACACTGCCCACCTGCTTAGCTTGCCAGTTCGAGCGCACTGCGCAGTTTCTTCGAAAATTTCTTTGGCCTTTCCCGCCGGTGGCCAAAGCACTTTCTGAGAATGTAACCTTCCTCAAGTAAGTCTTGTCTTCAGGCAGGCACTCTTTGTAGAAAGTCAGGATCATATTTGTAAAGATGCAGTGCCAAGGCTAGGCGGGGGCTACGCATACTTGAGGCAGGACAGAAGCTTACAGACAGCATTTACTGTTGTGATACGAATGGCAAGGAGGCAACAGTTGATTCCTGTTTGTCAGAGTCGAAGCGCATTTTCCCAACACTTCAATAGGGTCAAGACATGTCCTATGTGGAATATGCGCTTTGGAAAGAGCATAGGTATCTTGCGGGCAAGGGCGATGTTGAAGCCATGAAAGCCGGAAACCTCAGATGTATGAACACCAAGCAAGTACAATTTGATAGTCAAAACCACTGACAAGATCATCGTTGGCCTTTATGTTTCCTGTTTAGGGCATCAATTGGTGCGGTGTGGCGTATAGTATCTAATTCCCTGCGCCCAGAAGCTATTGGACATGGGTGTGCCAGCTGGTGGTCGCGATAGCCAAGATGAGATTGAGCTGGGTCCCCAGTCTCCACGTCAAGAGCTTTAATTTGTATTTGATTTGCTGCATTGAGGCAATGACATGAAGAGGGTAGTCCACAGCCAGTTCCCTTTGAATCCTTGAGTGGGGTATCGAAAACTAAGGCAGGCGCCAGTCATTTACGCTGCTAGGGAAGGCTTTGCACAAGCTTGCAAGGTCCTGGCACAGTACCAGGCAACAAGCAGACATGTCAGAAAGAACTGAATTCGTTTGTTATAAATGAGTCGCAGTCACGGGGCTATCATATGAAAGACACAATTTTCAAGATTCATGCCGCATTCCCATTTTATTTGAGGCGGATGTAAACGAAGTGGGTGGAGTTGCCCGTGAAACTGCACTGCATGTGGCAGTTCAGTGCAGGACTCAGCTCAAAATCAGTCCAGCTCGCTTTGTTTCCTCTAGCTTGACTCTGATAATCAAAGCGCTGCGGATTGTGTCAAACAAAACAAATCAGGCACAATAAAGTCAGGGTGGTGCAGACGCTGTTGGATCTTTGGCTGCAAGCATGGCTGCAGAAGTGTCAATTAAATACTTTAGTCTCAGAATCTAGAGCAAGGAGTTGCTCCAAGGGTTCTCGCAAGGAAGGGACAAGAAACTCCAGAACAATTGATGGCAAGGGGTTTCTATTTGCGCGTACTGATGTTCTATTTGCTTTTGTCACACCATGTTTGACGGCAGAACTTGCAAGCAAATCCGCAGCTTCAAGACTCTTCCGGCCAGCGTCTTAGGTTTTGAATCGCATGGTTCCAGCAAAGTTCTGAAGTTGAGAAGCTAACCTTCCAAGTAATTGGCCTGTGTTGCTTTGATTTGTCGGCTTTCCAGACAAGGTTGAAACTTGAAACTTGTCAGAATCAAACAGAGCTCAGCTTTAAAGAGGCCAAGCTCCTTTGCACAAAGCAGCTCGTGATGGAACTGCTGGGGTCTTAGAGTTGCAAGAGTCCTCAAAGCTTGACTGATGTCAGGAAACACACAAAGGATAGGAAAGAATTACTGTAGTACAGAACAACAACAAACAATCTATTTGGTGTGGAGCTGGGGTGGAGCTAGGCTGGGTAACTGTCGATAGAGCAAGAAGTTTGTGCCGATTGCTGACCATGCGGCTTTTGTCCAGCCTGCCCAACTATATGATTTGTGCGCAAAGGCTTGCAAGATTTGCTCAAATATATATATAATTTCAACGGCGCCCTGTTTTACCAAGGAGGGTCGCAAAATAAGCTTAAGGCTTAAGGAGGATTATGCAGGATTTGGTACTCCTTCCAGACTGGAGATTCACTGGATTGTTTGAGGTGAGTTGTTTGCAAACTTTGATAGCTGCGGCTGCCATGATAGATCCAAGGCAGGGCAACCGCTCGGTGCGGCCAAGTGTTGGATGGCAATCTTTTTACTTTAATCTTGCTGAAATGGTTGTTGAACTGTGGGAAAGCTGAGGATGCATGGCAGCTTTGTGCAATGAACTACTGATTCGATTTGGCTGGCCTTTGCAGGGACACTTGTGAGCAGACACCTGTGCACATAGCATGCTTCTTTGGACGAGTGCCCTTGGCTCGGCATTGCTCGACTTATTGATATGGTTCTCTTAGTGCAATGGATGTTGCTACCACATATGCAGTAAGCTTGAATGCCTTGGCTGGATGTATAGTGAGTCTGAATTTGCAGCACTGCATGACTCCATGGGTATGATATGGCATGGCAGGAGGATATTGTTTCCAAGCTATTCACAGCCCGGGCAGATGTTGACGCCCAAGCTGATTATCAGGACAAGATGGCACGCAGACAGTGCAAGAATGATATATTGAATCTTATCGAACAGCGATGCACGGAGCAATCAGAACTCCAGCTGGAGCATCAGGTTGTTGCAGAGAACATCCGTGGACAGACTCCCCGGAAGGCGTGCTCAGTGCTTTGCAAAATGTGAAACCAACAAAGGCTAGGGAAGGTCAAACAGCATCACCAAGTAATGGAGTCCAGGTGTCAGGTGTTATTCATGTCGCGACGATCACCGCCAAGCAGGTTCATAGAACCGAGTTAAAGCATGTTAAAGCCATAGTTGCCCAAGTTGGGAGGTCACAGGTTGAAGAAAGCTATCAGCCCATGCGGTTTAAACAAAAACAACTGTCAGTTTGGAAAACGGCAAAACGTGCAGAGAACTATGGTAAAGTGCACCAAAGCGGCTATGTTGGACATTCCCGGTCTGTGCAAAACATTTCCTCTGCCCTAGCAAAGCAAACTTCGGCAGCTACTTGGACTTTCTCATGCAGGGTGTTCCAGCTGTTTTTGGACTGGATGTCGCCACGTGTGCGGACTCCTGGAACCGCAGAGCGCATCTTTGTTGCAAAGAAGACATGGAGTAAACGTTAGTGGCGTCCTTGCTCCTACTAGCGATGCCAGGAGCTCCTAGTAGCTTCTTACTCCCAGTAAACGTTCAAAGGCTTGTCGGGAGAGAAGGGATCGACGTTGTTTCCGGACTCGGTGGGTTTGGGCGGCAGAGGTTTCAGACGAAGAAGCTGCTAGAGGGTTGTCAGGTGGATGCCTTGCCTCAGCAGCGCGGTTCTTTGATAACTAGTAACAAGGAGCTACTAGGGGCTCCTGGCATCGCTACTAGGAGCAAGGACGCTACTAGGGGCTCCTGGCCGTACTACTACGTAGGAACAAGAGGCTACTAGCAGCTCGGCCCAGGTTCTTAGGCCACCTTTTGCTGCCAGACGGCCCAACTGATGCAGTCACAGTGGATAGAGTCAGGCGTCGGTTATGTAGAATAGTGGCGCTCTTGACCCCCGCTTTGGCGCCACACATTCGGATGGTTTTGGGGACCTGATTTAGTTGCGTTCCCATTGGCGTTTCTATTGCTCATTGGCGTTCCTTGCGTTTCCCTTCAGGATCACAAAGGAAATGTCCGGCTTTCATGGAGGCCCTTCACTGAGGCAGCGGCATGTCCAATTTGGATCCCCAGCTCGTAGCGTTGTAAGTTGCTCAGGATGTGGGCAACTTCCAAGCTTGCGAACGCTCTTTGCCTTTTGCCAGACCCTTCTGTTTTCGAGCTGCGACAGGGCGCCTCTTCATTTGAGCGCCTTCTTCCTTCACGATGAAGCAAGCTGGCCGTGTCAAAGCCGAGTTAGGACCAACTTGGGTCAACTTGCGTTTAAGTTGAAGCCAATCGAGCGCAGCAAGGTGCGCTCAGGCAGGGCAAGGTCTGGCACAGGCCGCACTCACGGTCAAAGGAGTGGAGGGATGTGGAGGTCACCGGAGGCGTGGCGCAGGCTCCGCGGTGGCGGGCGGGAAGTCAATCCCGCGGCATCAAGGGTGGCTGCCTGGAGTTTTGCCTTGACACTCTGTGCAGCATTGTGGCCTAACACGGGAACACACCCCATGTGGGAGAAAAGATGAGACAAGATTTGATGTAATTTTTTAAAGCACATTTTCCATAGCTGAAAACGCGCTCCCTGGTGCCACCACATCAATGTGGAGACACACGGCACTTTTGTCCCGAACCTTAGACCTTAGACTGATAGGGGCCACTCTGATTGGCCCACTGGGCCCCAAGTTGGCTCAAGTAGATAAGTTTCCTAAAAGTCTAGGAACCAAATCATTAGTGCGAGCGCTTCTTCAAGGAAGCGCGAGCTGTCCTGCGTCCATACTAGTAGCTACCTAGCTACTACTAGCTACCTCTCCCTACCTACCTACCTACCTATCTGTAGCGGCCTACCCCCCCTAAAAAATTAAACAAAAAAAATATGGTGTCAGTTGGAGCCGGCTTGGGCCAAGTTGGGTCAACTTAAAGTTCGGGCAACTTTGGACCGTTAAGCGACTGTCAGCCGCGCCGAAGTAGGATGCATCATGTCATACACCTAGACGGTTTTGTGCTTTAAAGTTTTTGCTGCTGGAGCCGGTTGTTTTACAAACTTGTTTTTTGTTCCGGAGTGATGAATCATGTTCTACAAACATGGGTTGGCTTCGCCATGAGTAACTATTATAAGTAGGTATTCTGGACAATCGGACAATTCAATTCTATAAGCCACACAGCCCCAGTTGCAAGTAAGGGACACTGGACAAAGACATTTGCAGGTATTTGCAATATGAATGTGTCACTGTAACACGTGTCTCCAGCACGTGGCACAAGAATCTAGGATACCCAGAGAGATTGGAATTCAATTTCATCAAAATTCAATCACTGCGTGGTCACTTCATTCTATATACGACATAGTTTTGCTGGCCTGATGAGTTTATTAAATCTGATCAAATCTTATATAGCTTTGCTGTCCTGATCAACTGGGCGAGCTGTCGCTTGTACACTTGAAATTTGGGTCGCTTGTGCACTTGAAATTATGGTCGCTTGTACACTTGACATTTGAGCACTGTCCGAACATGTCGTCACCAAACGCTTTAGGTTGGTCGGTCTTACACTGAACATACATTGAAAACCGATGAGGAAAACCCAAGACCGAGGTCTTCCATTGAGCATACATTGAAAACCGATGAGAGACCGATGCCTCTGTATCATACATCGGATAAGTACTACTACTACTACTACTACTACCACCAATAGTACTGCCACTACTAGTAGTGCATGCCACTACTACT